GTAAAGCCCGCGACATGACATGACAGTCTCTCCTGGGGCAAACAGCCTGGTCATTCTAATAGTAAAACCAGCATCAATGACCCTGCGAAGTGCTACTGCAGGTTGAAGAGGTCTCTTCTCCACGAGTCCGGAGAGAAACGGGAGGCTTCCTTCCGGGAGCCTCCAGTACTCCTAGAAATGTAAGATGATGAAATTGGGAAATTCACTGCGAGTTACATTGATTTAAGATCACATGCATTTTAATATGTTGTCAAATAGTCTGTTTGTCACAAAGAGACATTTCTGATCAGCACTGGTCCTTTTCCGGAATAAATTTCACTTGAGTACAGGGGTTTGAACCAGGTCTGGGGCTGTGGACTCACATTTCTACTTTGCAGTTCTTGGCATTTCCTGTCGGTACACATTTCTTTGATTTATTAACAAACAAAACATGAGGGATTAAACGTACATTTGCATGTACTTTTGGCAAGAGATATCAAAAAAATTTAAATGAGTATTAAAAAAACACTAAAGAAGATCTGGTTCAACGGTAATTAACTTTTAATGTTAATACTCATAACTTTCCAAACTGCAAACTCACTGCCATTGACTGGACGCTGACACATCGCAACCCTTGTAGGACAGGGTGGAACTGTCCTGTGGGTGTCCTAGACTGTCACTCTTTACGGGAGTAGAAAGCCCCATGTTTCCCCTGATGACAGGTGGTGGTTTTGAACTGCTGACTCTGAAGTTAGCAGTCCAATGTATAACCACTAGGCAACGAGGACTACTTATAACTTTATAGATATAAAACATATATAACACTAGACATTTTCAAAAAGAGAAATGTAACACTGTCACAGAATGTTCTGGGCTTGGGAGGGGAAGAGGATAACACAATTCTATCCTCGTGTACATGAGGAAATGGTACCTAGAAAGGGGATGACTTGGTGGAAGTGACCCAAAAAGAGCATTTTTCAAAAGATATGGAGGGAGCGGTGGGGGTAGGGGAAAGAGGAGCTGATATCAAGGAGTTCAAGAAGGAAAGGATGTTTTGAAACGGATGGTGGTAGCAATTGTACAATACTGCTTGATGTGATTGAACTGTGGAAAGATATGATGTCTGGATTAGCTTTTAATACAATGCTTGGGGGAGAAAAGCGATATGGAAATTGAGAACTTTGTGCAATGACTTTTACTCCTGTACCCTGTGCTTCATTTGGACAACTAGTTGCAACAGAACCTTCTGACGAGGAGCTTACAAAGCTCATTCCCGTTTCCTCCTCCGTGCACCAAGATTCCCAGTGATGCCTTCTGGGATACTCCAGGCTGTCTCTTGGTAGATGGATTCAAAGGTGGATCAGCCAGGGCTCCTGGGACTGGTTTTGTAATTGCCACCTTAGGTTTACCCCATAGCTTGGAGGTGATGGCCTGTGTGGGTGGGCCCCTCACTGTCTCAACAATTGTGCTCTGCTCACAACTCCAGTGGTCCCTTCTAGGAAGTGAAAACTGCTGAGGTGACTGGGGCCCCATCTGAGAGTCAGAGCGGCAGGCTGGCTTCTGGGAAACAGGATGTCTGCTGGAGGAGAGGGCTGCAGCCATGGACCCAGGGATGCCCTGTGGGGTGGGTGGGGAGAACCCTAGAGATGGGCCGACAGGCCCAGTGTGTGCCTTGGATTGATGAACAGGGCTGAGTGCAGAAACACAGGGCTCCTGGGGCTGGTCAGAAATCTACCAGACAGCTCCTGTTCAGTAGCTGAGCCCACTGCGTTTGCCCTGCAACCCCACATCATCCTTGATTTCTCTCCATTTGAATTTCTCCAGAGAAATTCACGGTCTGTTTACATTCACAGGGCTAATTGTAAGCCAGGGGTGGTGGTTGGGCTGCACGTGATTTCGAGCCACGTGGTGCAGGAAGGAGACAGGTTCTGCTGGCCTCACAGGGCGGGGGTACCATCGCTGCGACCTTGCCTCCGGCGCATGCGCAGGCGTGCACCTGCATGTCTGCGGGACACGGAGTAGAAGACCGGCAGGTTTCTGGTCTCCTGCTTTTTCCTAGTTGGACTCAAATGGTTCAACTCCATAGATCTAGCTCCAACCCAGAAAATAATTGAACCTTTGCTCCAGATAAGTAAGAGAGGGCTTCCATTGTTTCTGTTTGAAGCAATACAAACATAACAGAGAAATGAACAGCTATTTCCTCAATCTGTGAGCACAGCGGGAAAGCTCTCGGTAAATAAATGGGTAAAACCTGAAACCAAACCCATTGCCAAATCGGTTCCCATGCACAGTGGCAGCACACGTTGGCGAGCAGAAATGTTTCATGGGGGTTTCTGGGCTGGCTGGTAGACACCTGATGGGGCAGTTCTACCCTGACGGATAGGGTCGCTGGGACTCAGTACTGACGTGATGGCAATGTGTTTGGTGAGTCTGGATAGAAGCAGCTCGCTGGTCTTTCTTCCAAAGCTCCCTGAATGGGTACAAGGCTCGAGCCTCCAGGTTAGTCCTGGAGGGCAAACTCAGGGAGGGCAATGATGGGGTGACTTGCAGACATCCCATGGGCTCATTCACATCCTCACTTTCTGATATTTGATCTCTCCAGTCAGGGCTCCTCAGGGTCCCCTAAACAAGCTGTGTCACCCCTGGTAGCTTCCCATTTCCTTCCTTGCAAAGACTTCTGGATCAGCTCTCTCCTTTCATCCTCAAAGAAAGCTGTTTCCCTGAGTATCAAGACTTTTGCCCTCTGGCCCTCCCTGCTCCCCCCCCACCTACCTTTGCCAACACCCACCCCCCTCCCCAACTTGGCTCAGTCTGCTCCTACCCTTGTGCTCCCTCTCCAGGTTTGGAACACGAAATCCTCTCTGGTGGGCTCCCATCCTCACTTCTTTCTCATGCCCAGCCTCTCGCTCTGGCTGGCAGAAGGCCCAATTCAAATCCCCTTGGAGGCTTGGGGGTCTCCTTCTAACTGGTCTCTCTGTCCTCTTCAATTCCCTGCTTCCCTCTAAATCAGCACTGACCTGCTGCTTGCAATGACTTTTGTCATTTAAAAGTTCCTCTGTGCTTAAAACAGCACAATCTACTGTCCATGACTGAGCCTAGGAGGGTCTCCTGCGGCAGGCTCTGCCTTCCCTCAGCCCTCACACCACCCCTTTGTGTCCCCAGCCAAGCAGTGGCTTCATGGGACAGACAGGGCTTTTGCATATACATTCTTCTTTCAGGTATCATTATACCATCCTCCCCTCCCCAGCATGGCACCTGCCCCCTCCCTCGGTATCCAGGGCACAGCCCCTGTGCTTGTCTTTATTCTTCTGCCCCAGGGTGGAGCTGCCAAATAATCCTTACACCCTGAGGAACCCACCGTGAGTGGGAATTCTAAGGAGACCTAGGAGCTGTCTTAAAAGGAGTGTCAGTGTGAACTAGCAGTGGGGGCTGGGGACAGGCTGAGGAGGAGCTGGAGTCTCACTAAAGTTACCAACCAGATACCCCACCTCCAACGCCCAGCAGGCCCCTCCAGATAAGAGAAGGCAAAGGTCAGGTCTTTGCCACTCTGCCTCAGGGGAGCTCTGGTAGTGCCTGGTAGTGTCCTGGTTCCGGTTAGGCTGTGAGCCCTAACGTTCACAGTTTGAAACCACCAGCCTCTCCTCGGGAGAAAGACAGGGCTTTCTATTCCAGTAAACGGTGATAGTCTTGGAAGCCTCGGGGTGGGGGGTTGGTGTGTGTGGGTGTGTTAGTCAGCTGTGAGACTGTACTTCAAGCCCAAATCACCTTAAGAGCCAAAGAACACACAAGCCAGCCACTACTGTGTGCTTTAGGCCTTGCAGGAGGATGCCCTTGGAGAACCTCTGGCTTTTTGTATTTCTGGATTGTCCTAAGGAGAGGGTAGGCAAGGCCAAGGGTGCAGGGAGTGTGTTACACACACACACACACACACCCCTTAATAAATAACTCATCCGGAGAAGGAGGCTGGTCCTGGGGGTAGTTGGCAATGCTGTCCTTAAGGCCAGGCCCTAAAGGAATCCTCCACAAATACCGGGATTCATCCTGCTTTTAGGGTGGGTCTGGTGGACTTCTAGGGACTTTCCAAAGTAATGGGGGCGGGTGAGTTGAATACTGCCTTTTTGGTGGGCAGAAGGCAGTCCTAGAACACACAACACAAACACACACACACACACACACACACACTCCCGCGCATAGCGGCTGTCGCAGCGTCCCACGCATGGCGGCTGTCGCGGCGTCAGCGCTGGAGGAAGCCCCGCTGCGCGCCC